AATTTTTATTTTATCCTAGAGACAATAGGAAACCATTGAAGATTTTTTTAGAGGAAAGTGACAAGGTCAAATCTTTGTTTTAGGAATATCAGCCTGACAATAGTAAGGAAGATGGATTGGAGAGGGGAAAAGAGGAAATGGAAGTAGGGAGATGAATAATTAGGGTTTTGAAGCAGTTGCTGTACAGGTTAATCTAGGTCCCCTTGTGATGAGAACAGCTTATCTTTTAATTTTTTTTTTAAGGCAATTGGGGTTAAGTGACTTGCCCAGGGTCACACAGCTAGTAAGTGTCAAGTGTTTGGTCTGAGTTCAGATTTGAACTCAGGTCCTCCTAACTTCAGGGCTGGTGCTCTATCCACTGTGCCACCTAGCTGCCCCAAACAGCTTATCTTTAAAGAAAAGAATTATGTTTTTTAAAGGTCTATACTCAGGATAAAATCATATACTTTTCCTTGGTATGCATGAGAAGCAGTATGATGTCATCTGCTTCTTCTAGGAAGATCCCAAACTATTGTACTACTTTTTTGTAGGGTTCACAGAAAAACCATCCTGTTGCCTTATTTCTGTAAATGAAATGATTCACCATCATCCCACTTCTTTTTTCTCCTCTCAGTTCAAGCACTTCAGCTTTGCAAAGTAAAATAAATGACTCATTTCCATTGTTTGCAGCTTCAAGCAATTATGACTTTCTTGGCCTTAATAGTGAAATTTTAATAGCTAAAGGGAAAGTGATAAGAATTTCTTAAGTGGAAAGCATATCCAACAAACATTTATTTGTTAAGCGTCCAACAGATGCAAGGCATTACATATTGTATATTTCACCTTAATAATTTTCAAACCAGGAACTTTAGTTATTTCTCTCATCAGTTTTTAACTTAGTTAAATTTCTAATTCACTAATTTCTTAGCGCTCAACTTTCCCTCTTCCCCTTTTAAAACAGACCTTTAAAATACATCCTTTATATTACACTCAACAAAGTAAAGGTACCACAATTATTATGAACCTCTCCCAGTTCTTTTTCCTCTTTGGTGACTCCTCTATCTCCTTCATGTGTTCACTGTCCTCCTCTAATCTACCAAGTGTGTGTATTCACCAAGGCTTCAACTGAAGCTCTCTTTTCCCTGTTTAACACACTCTCATAAAGATCTCATCTACTTCCAAGAGTCCAATTGTTATCTCATATTAGTATTATCAATTATTATTGTTATTCAATTATATATTTAAGAGTCATCTGTATAGAGATAATTACAGATGATTCCTAAACATATACTTCTAGCCATAAGCACTCACAGTTCTGGTCCTGTATATCTAATTGTTCAATGGACATTTCCACCTGGAACTCCTCTCCCACCTTAAATTTAAAAAGTCCCAAACTGAAGTCAACACCTATCCATCTTCCAAACTTCCTTGTTTCTCTTAATGGCGCCATTATCCTATTCACCCAGACTCAAAACATTGAATTAATCTTGGCTCTCACATCCAATCAGCAGCCTATCAATTCTACCTTTGCAATATTTCTCTTATCCAGATCCTTTCTCTTAAATTTCCACTGCTACTTAGGTTGATAATCTTGGAGTCATCCTCTACTCTGTACTTTCATACCTCATCTCCAATCAGTTCCCAAATCTTAATCATTCTGCCTTTTACATTCATCCTTTCCTGTCCACTCACATGGACAGCACCCTAATCCAGGTCCTCATCACCTCTCATTTGCATTTTGCTTTATACAGTTTTACACATGATTTTCTTGCCTCCAATCCCTCCCCTCTCCAATCTGTCCTCCACAGTGGAGTGCATTGCTAAATTGTTATTCATAAAGTACAGGTCTGACCACACCAGTCCCTTATTCAGGAAGCTTTTGGTGTCTCTCTATTGCCTCCAGGATAAAATACACATTCCTCTTTCTGGCATTTAAAAACCTTTAAAGAATGTCTGGACTCAAAGGGTGGTCATTAATGGTTTGATGTCAATGTGGAAGGAAGTTACCAGTACAGCACTCCAGAGATTTGTGTTTGACCCTGGGTCATTTAACATTTAAGAGGATAACTTGAATTAAGGCATAAATGATATGCTTATCAAACTTGCAGATGGACACAAAAGTGGCCAAACAGAAAAAAACTCTAATCCTTTTTCTTTGTGAGAGTGCGTCATGCCCACAATTGAACAGTGTAATCCAGTAGTCCAGATTTGGTTGGATAGGAAGAATAAGTGGGACTATTAACCCCTTCATTCTGAAAGTTATACCTCTCTTAATGCAATCTAAGATAGCATTAACTATTAACTATAGAACTGAGATTGAATTCCAGTTCTGCCAACTACTACAGGGGTGACCTTGGGCAAATCCCTATGCCTCAGTTTCTTCATCTGTAAAATAAAGGAACTGGGCTGTATTACTTCTAAGGTCCCTTCCAGCTTTAAGCTATAATCCTATGATAATGAACTTTTTATTTATCCTTGTTAAATTCAATTTTTATCTGCTTGGCCCATTGTTGTAAACTGTTGAGATCACTTTAGATACTTATATCATGAATGACAGGTTTATATCACATTATTATTATATCACAATAAGCAAGTCTTATCTTTGAATTGATAAAAATATTAATAGGACCAGGGACAGGTCTCTGCTGGCACACTACTATAAAGCTTCCTCCAAGATGACCTTGACCCATTAATGATTCAGTGTGGGAGTCTTTGTCAAATGCTTTACTGAAATTGAAATACCCTATGAGAAGCAATATGGTGTCAAGGAAAGAACACAGGACTTATATGAGTAAGAGATGTATTCTTAATCAACAAGAGATAGAGGAAATTACAAAAGATAAAACAGATAACTGGTTACTTGAAATTGAAAAGCTTCTGAAAAAAAACATTAATGCATCTACGATAGGAAGGGAAGTTGTCCAATGGAGGGGGAATCTTTGTATCAAAATTTCTCTGATAAGAGTTTGGTATCCAAGATATCTAAGTAATTAATAAATATACACAAAACTAAAAGCTATTTCCCAATAGATAAATAGTCAAAGGATACAAACAGTTCTCAAAAGAACTGCAAAATATTTACAACCACGTGAAAAATGTTCCAAATCACTGATAACAAGAGAAATGCATATCAAAACAACCCTGAGGTTTCACTTCACGCTCTACAATAGGCAAAAATGGCAGAAAACGGCAACAGTGTTGGAGTTGTGGGATGTTAAGCACACTAATACATTGTTGGCAGAGCTGTGAAATGGAAAGCAACTTGGAATTATGCAAATTAAGTGACTAAAATATCCAGCCCTTTGAACCAGAAACTCCATTACTGAGATTATTTCCCAAGGTCACCATCAATAAGAAAAAAGCCCCCATATACTCCAAAATATTTATAACAGCACTTTTTGTGATAGTTAGGAATAGAAACAAAGTAGATGACCATCAATTGGAAAATGTCTAAAAAAATTTTTGGTACATAAATGCAATAGAATATTACTGTGCTGTAAGAAATTATGTGTGCAATCAATACAGAGAAGCATGAAATGATCTATATGAACTGATGCAGAATGAAGTGGAGCCAAGAAAACAATATACATAGTAAGTACAACCATGGAAGTGAAAAGAATAATACATAAAAAATAAAAAGAAATAAATGTAACAAAATTATAAAGAACAAGGGGGACATATGAGAAGATACCTCCAACCTACCCCTTGATGGAGGTGGGAAGTCCACAGGTGTTACACACTACACTTTTTTTTAGACTTTTTCAATGTATTGATCAGTTGTTCTGACTTTTTTCCCCCAGTGTAAAAAATATTATTTGTCATATAGGATGGCTCTCTGGGAGGGGAAAGGGTATGGGGTACTGTGGTGATGTAAGAACAGAACATATCAATAAAAAATTCGTAAACAAAGCCTTTTCTGCATCTACAGAAATTAAAAAAAATAAAGCAAAAAAGTTTACGGAGCCAGAGGACCTGGATTCAAATGTGAATTCTGCCACTTACTACTTAGGTGACCTGGCTTCCTTCAAATCCTGGCTAAAATCCCACCTTCTAGAAGAAGCCTTTCCAGATCTCCCTTAAATCTAGTGCCTTCCCTCTGATGATTATCTGCAGTTTATCCTGCATGTATTTTGTTTGTATATGGTTGTCATTAATTTCCATTCTTTTCCTCCCTCAGACTGTGGGATCCTTGAGGGCTGGGACTGTCTTCTCTCTTTCCTTGCTCAGCACAGTGCCTGGCACACAGTCGGTGCTTAATACTTAGCCAACTGACCTTGGGCAAGTCACTTCACAGTCTAGACTTCATTTCCCTTTTCTCTAAGATGAGTGGGTAGGGCTTAACTCGTGGAAGAATTATCCAGATACTCCGTGTTTTCTTGCTTAAATAAGCTGTTTATTCCTACAACTGGAGGGAGTCAGCCTTCATAGACACCAAAAGGCATCCCATCAGTCAACAAGCACGTTTACTGCGTGCCAGACACTGTGCTAAGAGCTAAAGTATTCTTTTGTGCTGGATTGAGGGAATAACAGATAAATGAAAGGAGTACACAGTTGGGAGGTAACTATGGGTAGTTTCAAATTGGATCCAGGTTGTGGTTGGAGAACTAAAGGAGAAAAGTAACACATTAACCGGATAATTTGTTCCGCCAGCTGAGCAGGTGTTTTTTTCATTGTTCTGCCTAGAGAAGGCAATTTCCCATAGTTCTTCAGGGCAGCAATAAATAACCGTCCCATAGCCCTTTGCAGGAATGCCAAGCTCTAGATCTGGAAGCAAACACATATAGGAAATCCTAGAAAACTGATTTCACAGATGTCTAAGGGGCCCTTTATAAAACGGGGGGAGGGGCAGGTGGCCTGAGCTGGAACTTGGCCTCAGGGTTTCCTTGGGGAAGTTTGGGCCAGCTGGCCAAGCAAGCTCCCTGGTAAGCTCAGCCCCAAACTGCCTTCACTATGCTCCCAGGACTGGGAAGAGAAGCCCCAATAAGAGCATCAATTCCCCTCCCATCCCCTCCCCCACGGCGCTAGGGGGCAGGACTACGGGAGACAGAGGCCCCACGGAAGTCCGCTCCCGGGATGGTGACGTCACCCCCCCCCCCCCCCCCGCCTTTCGACGATCCCATAAGGCGCCGCGACGCATCGGTTCCCACCTTTTCCCACCGCCGCCCCCCGCGCCCCCTCCCCCCACCCGCACAAGCCCCCCTCCCTTCTGATTCCTTTCCCACAGTGCACTACGCTGGCGGCGGTGGTTCCGCGCCCCCGCGCCCCCTGCTTCTGCCTCTCGCCCCAAAATGGCGGACACAATGAGCCGGAGCCGCGCCGGTTTGCCCTGAGGAGCCCGTGAGAAGGCTCGTGGCCCAGGCCGAGGGACGACGACGACGACGAGGAAGGAGACGAGGAGGGGGTCAGCGAGCCAGCCGCCCCGACTCTCCTTAGACCTCGCCTCGCCTCCCCCGGGGGCCCCGCCCCGGCCTCCCCCGGCCCTCGCGGCCACCCTCCCTCCTTCCCGCCGCCGCCGCCGCCGCCGCCGCTTCCTCCGGCGCTCCCCGCCCCTGACCCCGTCGCCCGGCCCGGCCCCGGCGCCATGAAGCTGACGGACATCGTGCTGCGGAGCTTCCGCGTGGCCAAGGTGTTCCGGGAGAACTCGGACAAGATCAACTGCTTCGACTTCAGCCCCAATGGCGAGACCGTCATCTCGAGCAGCGACGACGACTCCATCGTCCTGTACGACTGTCAGGAGGGCAAGTGAGTGAGCCGCCCCCGGCCCGAGGAGGCCTAGCGCCGCGCCGCCCCGCGCCCCCGGCCCCGGCCCTCCCCGCCTGCGCGCCCTCCGGCCCGAAGCCGCGTGGCAGCGCTCGTTGAGTCCCCGGGACGCTTCCGGGAAACTGAGGCGCGGACGCCTCCCCCGCTGCCGTGCGGCGGGCCCCGAGCTGGGGGGTGAGAGTGCGGTGTAACGTGGGGCCCGCGTGCCTGCCCTTCCCCCTCACGCCGCCCCCTCCCACCTTCCAGTAATAACAGCCAGATTTGTCTAGTGCATCCACGCGCGTCCGGTCCCATCTGTCCTCGGGGCTTTCCAGAGATTGCCCCTCCTTCAGGAATTCGAAACCGTTTTTGTGTCATGGACCCCTACCCACAATAACGGCTTTAAGTGCATAAAATAAAATGCCTAGGATTACAAAAGTACCAAATAGATCGAAATAAAGATAGTTTTTCCCTTCCATCCAAGTATTTGATTGATGAGTAAGACGGTCTCACATGGGGGAAGTGACTTGTCCAAGGTCACACTAGAACCCACGTCGGATCCCCAAACCTTTGCCTTTTCCACTACATCCACTGCGAATTTTTCATCTGAGGAAGCATTTTGCATTCTTCTCTGGTCAGAATCTGACCTTATTGACAACACCTTTGACATGAATTCAGACCTTTTCTCCCTTTTGCCTCATTAAACATTTGCATATTCCTGGTACTTTCAAACTGTAATCTTGAGGTACCTTTTCGAACAAACACCACCTTGATATTACTAAGCAAATAATCTTTTTACGTTTTGGTTACTGTTAAAAAAAAAAAAAAGCTTAGCAAGCTATTGCACGAAGATTGCAAAAACATGTTGATTTTCTTTAAACAATGTAAGCTTTTGGTCACATCCCGAGTGACCTCAGTTAAACTTTTGGCTGTGTTTTATAACCTCTGCCCACTCAACTTCCTCACTTCTTACCGAATCAGCACATTCTTAGTAATTACAGTTTATAATGGTATTATTTTTTCGGCTTTTTTGTGAAGTATAACAATGTCTTTTATGGAGAACTCTTTATACTACTTTAAACTTGTCCTTTAATATTTGGTGTTTTGTTTTCTGGGTGTGGTGGTATGAGTGGGGTTTTTTTGTTTTGTTTTGTTTTTTGGGCTGCTTCCACAAGGGAACTTGGCTGATCTGTCTTAATTTTGATTTAAATGCTCCATTTCTCATACTTAATACTTATACCAGGCTTCCACACCTCTCGTGCCAAATACTGTGATAATAAACTTTATTGCTTCCTCTATGTACAACCCTGGTGAGATGCATTCATGTCTTTCCCAAATCAAGACTGGTAATACTCAACTTTTACTTATTATCATTCCAGGTCCAAACTTTCACCTGTTTATTTTTAAATCTTGGAAAGATTTTTTTCTCTGTATTTCTGCTACATTTTTATTTTAGTATGTTCGTTTTTCTTGTCTCAAACTATGTGTTTTTAGGAACAAGACCTTTTTGTGATTTCTGTAGTCTAAGACAGCTTTTGGATTGTCTGGTATGTATTTAATTTATGTGAGGTGTTTTTTTTTCCCTACTCCATATTTCAGTTTTTAGCACTTTTATGTTACAGCTCTTTTGAAGAAGACTTTTGCAGTAATTTTGTTGAAGAGTCTGCTGATGGGTTAGTAATTGTAAAATGGTGTGGAGAAACAGATTAAATTTGGATGGTGGAGTAGCCTTTGACAGTAGGCTCTTTAGAGGGTGGACTAAATTCTCAATGACTGATCAAAAGTTAGTTGATGGACTACTAGTAGAGGTAGCTCTTTGCCCTTGTCTGTGTCCTTGAATGAACTTTGGGTCAGTGAAGCTGCTTTGAGATATGCAGACAAGTTTGAATGAAGGGATTTAGTAGTTTTCTGTGCTTGGATTATCTTTCTGTCTTGGAAGTGGAAAAAAAAGGTCATCTTTTGGGGCCTGTTGGAAGTAATCAAATAGACTTTATAATAGTCTTTTGAATGCTTGTTATTGAGTGGCTTGTCAGCTGATTTTCAGTGTATAGCATGAATTTCTTTACCTGTTATTCTTTCCTTTTTCCCCTTAATCACGTATGACTTTGGGAAAGTATAGGATTGAAAAGAACTACACTCTTATTTCTGCTCTGCTGCCTATTAGTTGCTACTTAAACTTCCTGGGCCTCAGATTTCTTACATAAAATCAGGAGACTGGAATAGATGGTCTTGAAAAGTTCTCTTTTAAATCTTAGTATGAGTCCAAGTTGCTAAAGCTTGGGAAAGAGTAATTTTTTCCATGTATATGGGGAGGATAAAGTTTTTTTCTAACATCTGTATACTGTACCTCTGCTCTAAGCTGTTAGGACTTAACTTAGGAATAGAAAAATGATTAAAACAAGTACCAATTGCTCAGCATTTTCCTGTTTATCATAAATTCAAATTTTCCTCATGGATTTTTCATCCTTTAACAATTGTGTTTTATTAGGATACTTAACTTTGTGTAAAGCAGAGGTTCTGAACCTTTTTGGTGTCCGGTCATTTTGGGAGTTTTCTGGTGAAGAAGCCTATGGATTTCTCAGAATCATGTTTTTAAATGTGTAAAGTAAAACACTGAGGATTACAAAGGAAACAATTGTATTGAAATACAGTTATCAAGATTGATACAAAAAAAGTTCACAGAATTCAGATTAAGAAGCTCTAGTGTAGAGCACTGTGGTAACTTAAAATTTAGGTAAGAGACAATCTCTGCTCTCTTCACGTTTTGTCTAATGAGGAAACAAAATCTGACATAGATAATGCTAAAACAAAATAGATTCGAAATTCTTCAGAGATTTAAAAACATTGAATGATTTCACCCCCAAAGAACTTTCATTCATGTGGGTAATGCTCATATTAGAGTAGGGGAAACCTTAAAGGTCATTTAGTCCAATCCTCTCATTTTTACAGATTGAGGAAAATGAGTCCCAGAGAGGTTAAACAATTCTGCTCTACTGTTTTCTTGGACCTCTGACATCTCCCTTCCAACTTAACTCTTCTTACGTACTCTACCAAAAAGATATAATTAAATGCATACCTAACCTTTCCTCTCCAGACCTTATTATTACAATATTTTCTTAATTCATAATTTGAAAATATTATTAAGTCTGTATAGTGGCTTTCCAAAGTGAGCATCATAAAGACCACTTTTAACTGATGTAATCAGAAACTAATTTTGTGGGGTGGTGGTAAACTATCATAGAGTGTTGCCTAGTGTCAAGACAGTTGCTTATAATTATAGTTATAAGGGAGGGTAGGTTGGCATATATATGGAAAAATGACTGGTGTGTAAAAAAAAAGTCAATAAAACTTTTAAAACTAATCTGTCCTTCAGACTAGGTATAGCATATCAAGTCTGGAAATGTTTCTTTGCCCCTGCCATCTCTGCCCTCCACCCCCGACAAGGATAGGAATGTAAAATATATATATATAAATGTAAACCCATTTTCAGCTGCTACTTCATTTCCCCAGTAGCTTTCTTGGTAAACATGAGAAAGTCTACCATGTCTGGGTGTGGAAACTGAAAGTTTTAGTTACATAATTCCTTTTCACATTGATGTTAACTGCTTATATTCTCACTACCATATATAGACTAAATGAAGATAAAGCTGCCCATTACTCAAGCTCTAAGTTTGCCTACTAGCTCCTAAGATTAATTTTTGTCTTCTCGCCCTAAAAAGCTTTGTTGTTGTTCACTTGAGTCTGAGTCTTTGTAACCTCATTTATGGTTTTGTTGGCAAAGATAGTGATGGCAAAGTGCTTTGCCATTTCCTTCTCCAGCTCATTTTACAGGTGAGGAACTGTGGCAAACAAGGTTAGGTGACTTGCCCAGGGTCACATAGCTAGCGTCTGAGGCCACATTTGAACTCAGTTCTTCCTGACTCCAGGCCTGGTGCTCTGTCCATTTCGACACCTAGCTGCCCTCCAAAAAGCTACTTGCTTTCTAAATAAGGGCTAACTTAATCGGATTGATAAGTAGTTAACGACTCATTCATATTTTATATATTTTGGGTACCCACCGAGCATCTGTATTACTGATGTCATATTTGAAGAATGTGGCAAAAATTGTCCTTATTTTTTGCTGTATATTCTCATATTACTAGTATACTTTACTCAATTTTATGGTCTTTTAAGTGCTTTATAAAGTTGGGTGTCTGACCTTAAGCTAATCTGTGGGTCCAAGCTCCAGACATTTTTATAAAGGAGAGAAATACTGCCTTCTCCCTTTTTCCTCCTCCCTTTTTTGGTTATGCTTGATAGAATCATAAATTTAGAGATGGAAGAGAATATGGAGGTCATCTAGTCCAGCCTCTTCATTTTACAAATGAGGAAACAGGCCCAGAGAGTTACATGACTTGCAGTGTTAAATAGTTAGTGACAGAACCAAGATTTGAACCTAGGTCATTCAGTTCCAAATCCAGTATTCTCAGTAGTTTAGCTGTAGGAATATAGGACTCAGCAGCAGACTGAAGCTAAAACATTTCCATTCATTCAACAGACTTTTTATTGAACTATTTTTATGTGTAAGATAATAGGTTATAGGACTAGTTTTCAGAGAGCTTGTGATCTTGATCTTGTAGGGAAGGCTAGGTGGAAAAAAGTGAATAATCCAGGCTAGGTGGAAAAAGTGAATAATCCAAGTTCAGAAGTGATCCATTTCTTTCAGCTGTTGGAGAGGGGAGAGGCAGAAAGGAAAAGGGATGGGGAAAATTTAATGTAGATACTGTTTTGTGTGGGGTGAGTTACTCTGGTGGGGGTAGGGGGTTGTAAAAAGAGTAAGAACAGTTAGTTCAACTATGTGGTCCATAGAAGGATAGTGCAAAATTTCTTGTCTCATTGAAACTTAGATAACAAATAAAATCTTTTTATGGCAGACTGTAGTGTCATATATTCTTTAGCCTCTCATTCTCGTAGTGGAAAAAATGGTTCATTCAACAAGATTTTCTTTTACATTGCGAAGATTAGTAAACATAGTTTCATTAGATTATTTTGTATACCTCTTGGATTGGTCATCTTGAATCGCTTGAATGAGAATGGCTTTGCCTAGAGTTTTCTGTGGTGAAGGTGGCAAGGGAAAAGAATTGACCGAAAGTAATAAGTAGCTTTGCTAACTTTAGAAGTGTTTTTAGAGTGCTTATCAGTGAAATGAGATTGTTACCAAACTCAGCTATAGCTTGGTCTGCAGAAGCTATGTGAGAACTTTAATAACCAGCTTAAGCACTTGATTATACCTTTCTACTATGTTAAAAGGGGCATGATTCTTACATTGTGGAGTTGGAAAATTAAGTAAAAAGTGACTTTAACTTCTCTAGAAATCAGTTCTTGGAAAGCCTAGCAAATAGGCTGATTTTTAAAAACTGTATTGTAATTGTAGGACAGTTATATAGTTCACTATTAAAAGCCCTGCTTTTAATTCCAGTTTTTATAGACCACTGCCCAGCTCTTGACATCTTGACAGGAAAGTGCCTCTTTCTTCCTGTGTATCTGAACCAGGGCATTGTTTTTTAATCTCTCTCTCTTTTTTTTCCCATTAAAAGAAGATAGTTTTAAGAAATAACTGGGAACCTTTCAATTCTATTTACTTCCTCTGTGTTTAGGGAAATTCTTTGTATCTGGTTTGTTTTTTTTTTCCCCTTTGTCCCAAACTGGTCAAATTCTTAAAGCAATTTAGATTTTTTTTTTCCCAGAAATTAAAGATAGAATCCATCAGATTTTTTTTTTTAACTCAACTTGTCGTTTGACACTTTAAACAGATGAAAGGCTTGTTTTGAACCCAATGTATTGTGTTTCCCTTTTTTCTCAACTTACAAGATTGTACCTGTTCTCTGTTCCACAAAAGATCAACAGCTAAACTCAGGTGCCTGTACTAACGGTGCTGCGCTATAATGTAAGTTGGTTTGTTTAGTGATCTGGGATTTCTTTATTTCCCCAGACCAAAGAGAACACTGTACAGTAAGAAGTATGGAGTGGACCTAATCAGATACACACATGCAGCAAACACTGTAGTGTATAGTTCTAACAAAATAGATGGTAAGTAAACTTTCCTTTTATTTTTTTAAGACATGTTTAAGACCATTACTCCCCTCGCCCACTGCGGCCCCTGTAAAACAATGCCTGGAATTTGCATTTTTATAAGAATATTTTGAAAATTTTGCTTGTATCAAAGTCTCTCGGACTAAATACGTTCTGATAGAACTTGTTACTCCAGTCATGTGAACTGAAAGGAAACTAGAAACAGGTGACAGCTTTTACTTCAGAAGTTCCTTGAATGCAAAGGTTAATGTATATATATCATAAATTAAAATGGGTATGTGTTAGAGAAACCAGGATGAAACATCTTAATAGCCTCAAGAGATAGAAGTTACTTTAAGTGGTAGGGTTAGCGTACAGATAAGGAACTACTTTATATACAAGGTAATGTACAGGAAGAAAATGGTTCAAAAAGGATTTAGTTGATTCACACATGATGATGGCATTTTGGTATGTTTGCAACTATATCCTTAACATTTTGAAATTTCTGTCATGAAGAGTACTGATCCTTTCTTGACACTGTTTCATTCTTCTTAGGTGAACTTAAATTTTACCTGAATTCTTTTTGTTATTAGTTAAAGCTACAGGCTGTGGTCATATAAGATTGGGTAGTTTGTCCTAACTGATAACCAAACTTCTGAGTTTTTTTTCTGTAATAGGTGGGCTGGGTCTCAGTTAAATTTTTTCACTTAGTGTAGGTTTTCCCCATTAGAAGGAGTGACTAGTATTTGGTTGTCATAGCTATTTCTGCTTTCCTAGCCAACCTATTTGTTATCTTAGGGCATGTGCTCCAGTGCGTCACTGAACACAAATTGTTTAAATTGCTGTCTTAGTTATATCTGTAAATCTACTTTATTTTAAGGGTAGATGGGTGGGAGTGTCATTTTTAGGAGACTTTCCTGTATATAAATTGATTTAGTGAGTATCTTTGTTTCTAAGTTTGCCGACTTCTGTGTATAGGTAGTCTTCCAAGTAAATAGTGTAGCCCGTGCAGTTGAGCTAAGAAGGAATAATTAGGATTCACTTGACAGGAAATATATTTAATTGCAAACTGAAAGAGTTGGAAGTTTTTTCTCTTGGGCTTTTTTCTCCTGATTTGAAAATCCTCCTCATATGCAGTGAGGAGACATGTATATAAAACTTAATATCTAGGCTCCAAGTTAAAGAAGATACCTTGCTGGTTTTGTACTTTAAGGATGTTGCCTTTCTTGTAACCCTAATTCCCCCCTGTTCTTCATGAAGAGCTCCAGCTTCGACCCCGTTTCCTTCTGCCTGATTCCAGGCTGAGGTAGTAGTTTGTACAGTTTGAGGGTCTATGATACCACCCGGTACAGGAGATAACTGTACAGGCCACTGCCTTGCCAGGGACAGAGCGCTGCCACCAACAATGGTTTGTAGCGGAGCATGGGGACGGTCTTCCTGCCTTCCTCTGTGAAACCAGGTAACTCTTTCTAACAGAAAAGGGATCTAATGATTCTTTGTGGGTAGGTAATAGTACTGAAAATATTAACTAGTCCTTAAATTCACTGTACTTGCTAAACTGAGATTATAATGTAGGTCCTAGGCCTAGCTGTTTGTCACATAGGTTACAAATAGATGGCATTATCAAGCAGTTGTTGAAATATTTAGAAACATAAGGACATTATAATGAAAAGAAAATTCTTTAAAGATATCACTTTTCCCTCATAGATGGTCATGAGATACCTCATTAAAAATGACCTTATATTCCATTGCACTGGGTACCTTTTTCTAGCATCTTTCCTCTTGTTTGTGAGTGTCTTTTCTAGACTGTCATTTCCTATAGACCCTCTCACCAGTTGTCCCTCAGTACTACTGTTAACCTAAAGGACTCTTATGACTTAGCAGCCTTCTTTCCAGCATTTCACCCCTTTTCTGTTTTTCAAATTAAGAGGACTTGTTATATCAAAGGATATACTTATTTTCCCACAGACATTTCTAGGAGCAATTAATTCTCTGGTGTTTGTCACAGCCTGATAATTGCTTAAATGGTTAATATTAAGTTCCATTTGAGAAAGTAAGAATAGTCTGGAGTTGATCAACAGGCATTCAAGTCGCTTTTGTATTCAGAAGTTTACACAGTCTTAAGACCTAGTAGGGGTGAAAATTTGCGCTTTATTAGATTTACTTTTGATGAAGAATAGTTTAAGACTGAGTCATTCACATAAGCTTAGCTTTAACAGGTTGTCTGGGAACAAACTATAAATCAGTCCACTTATTGTGTAGTGTTAGGGAAAGAATACTGAGAGTCTAAAAACCATGGTTCTAATTCAAATTCTGCCACAGACTTGGCTAGGTGACTTTGAGTCTTCTTCCATCCCTGTCTCTAAAATGAAGAGTTTGAACATAGTCATTTTCTAAGGTCCTTTTCAATTTTGACAGTCTAAGATTCATTGTGTGCTGATAGCCAGAATCTTTTTCTTTAATTAAAAAAAAGAAGTAATAGTTTTATGCCAAAATTTATACATAGCAACTAGTGTTTGGATGAATCTTTTATCATCTAAGAAGGTCCAACTTACTTTCCAGAAGCAAAAACTGGGAAATAAATTATTTTTTTGAACTCTATACCAAATGCTATCAACAGTTTTATTTGCCAGAATTTTTTTTGATGAGAAATTCAGTTAAGCTGCTCTTCCTGCCCACCGTCTTACCCACCATAACCCAGCATTTCAGAAGTTTTACTTGACATTTTTATGTTCCTAAGAGTCTTCTGATCACGTGGGGCAAATATTGCTCTCTCATTTCTTTGCATCTATGGGTGCAGTCTGGGTGGATATTTTAGCTAGTTTGGCTGACCTGCTTTCCTCCTCTGTTCTATACTAAAAGGGTCAACCTTTTGGGGGAGGTAATGTTTATAGATGAAGACATGTAGAAACTATATGCCAGTTTTTAAAGAAGAATTTAGGTCTTCTGACCATGAATTAATTTTGTATCTTTTTTTCAAATTGCAAAGAAAGGGCCCAATAAATTCTCAGCTGATTGAGGATATTGCTTTGGTACTTTGTGTGTTTTCAGATACAATCCGCTACCTGTCCTTGCATGATAACAAATATATCCGGTACTTCCCCGGACACAACAAGAGGTAAGACCCGGAAGGAGTGGGTGGGATTCTTTCAGTGCTCTTAGGCTAGTGAAGCAAGTAGGGAAAAAGTTGTCGTTTAGTTTGAAAAAACATCATTTATTCCCCTAGTGTGCTTTCTGGTTCTTCACCAGTCTTCTGCATTTGGCAATGTCTTCTGGAACACTGAGGATACATAACATAATAAGTATATGTCCAGTGTCTGAGCTGGAGAAGAAGCTCTTCTTATCTACTGTTTTTTTTTAAATCTATATATGCATGTACACCTGTTCATTTTAAAACCTCAAAGCACGTAGGATTTTCTTTGATTGGCAGAACTTAACGTATCTCTCTATGTATCACTAATACAAATAAATGATAAAAGTTAGCATTTACTGAGTGCTTTAAATTTTGCGTAGAACTGTGTATGTGTTGTCTCATTTGAACCTCACCACAGCTTTGTGAGGTAGTTGCTACTGGTATCCTGTTACCAATGAGGAAACTGAGACTGAGAGATGTTAAATGACTTGTTCAAGATCACACAGATTTTAAAAATTTAAGTGTTCATGACTTAGGTATATTCCTAAATCACATGGCATTGCTTTTTAAAAATTATCATCTCATTGTTTTACTTATCTCTCCCCAAAGTACATATGAAGATAGGCTTAATAAAAATACTAATAAACCTAGCATTTATATAATGCTGTAAGGTTGCAAAGTGCTATCTAAATACTGTTGTTAATTCATCTCTATGCTTTGCTCTATTTGTAGTGGGCTTATAGGGTCTTAGAGAAGGATGGTAGATTTACTCTGACAGTGATTTGGGGCTTGTTTACATTTACTTCTCCCTTTTTTCCATGAATTGTATTTGTCTTGGACATATTTCAGGGTGGTGGCCTTGTCCATGTCACCTATAGATGACACTTTTATCTCTGGGTCCCTGGATAAAACCATCCGACTTTGGGATCTTCGATCTCCTAACTGCCAGGTAAGTCATAGGAATTGACTGGTCCCAGGAGAGTCTGTTAATCAGAACTTTGATGGAACTGTAGGTTTTAATACATTATTTAGTGTGGTTTGCTTTGAAAGTTAACCTTGAGTTAAAAAACTTTACAACATTATTTCTCTTTAAATTTCAGAGTTTTTTAAAATCTTAAGCAAACTTTATATTTCCTGGTATGTTGATTGATGGGAGAAATATCTCTTCTCTGAGTTAATGTGGTGGGTAACTGCTACCAAATACATATTTACCACAATCCAGAAATTATAAAGGTAGCCTAAACCTAGGTTTTATTATTCTACTCAAGCATAGGTTCAGACTCAAAGAAAATCCGAACAATCTTTAGAATTCTAACCAGGCTTCTTTATAGGCAAAATTATATTAGAGTGATAAATAGTAATTTTACATATTGCAGTCCATTCCTCTTAGACCACGAAAGTTAAAGAAAAGATAGATCCACAATCCTGTACTTCCTTTATTGTCATAAAAGTTTAAAGCAGAGTCATAATCTCATATCCCCTAAAGGAATAACTTTATCAAACAAAATCTATAGATAAACTAAGTCAAGTTACAAATTAAACTACATTTAGAGAGTTCAGGCTGATGGAGGTGATGTGATTTGAGGGCTTCAGGGACACCACCAACCCTCCCCCCCCAGGACAGAATTATACCACAGGGTCATCTGGAATGAATTCATGGACTCAAGCATTATTTAAGTCAAGTTGGCAAAGGTTAGGTTATACCATTCATTGGGCACAAGTACTTAAGGAATCTGACCTTAGAGGGGTATAGTTAAAGTTTATATAGGAAAAATTGCAGTAAAATATGTGCTAAGTTTGCTAACTAGGTGATTTAGGGAGTGGTTAAGGAGTGGTCAGTTCTTTGTTTTTGTTTTTTGTTTGTTTGTTTTATGTGAGGTAATTGAGGTTAAGTGACTTGCCTAGAGTCACACAGCTAGTGAGTGTTATGTGTCTGAGGATAGATTTGAACTCAGGTCCTCCTGACTCCAGGACTGGTGTTCTTACCACTGCACCACCTACCTGCCCCTTTTGTTTGTTTTGTTTTTGTTTTGTGTTTTGAGTGGTCAGTTCTTAACATGTACTTTTTGTATCTGCTGCCCAGGCATTTAACCCAGAGTTCACCAGGAAAAGGGAGGGGCCCCAAGGAGGTGTAGTTTTTAGGTCTGCTACTTCACTGAGTTAATTAGTGGTCAGGGCTGACTGAGGATTGCCTAGTCTGCCACAAATCAATGTTTTGTTTGACAAGGTAGATGTAGGGAGGATACATATGTTTGAAGTCTAGGATACACATAATGAGTTCAGGATGCAAATAATGAGGTAGGGAGTTGTCCAGTGAGTACTGAATATCTTTATGAGCCAGTACAAAGCCAGTTCAAACTAATAATTCCTAGAGGTATGGTTTATTATCACTCCAGGGAGAAAGAGAAGTGTTTTGCTGGGGCCCATTCATGAGTAATTGCTAGGCATAGTGTCCTTGGGCTGGGGAGAAACTGCCAGGGATAGTGTTTTTGAGGCCAGGGAGAAATACGGTCTTAGAATTAGGGTCCAAGCACAGGCACCCAAACACCCCATCAGGCAGATTTACATGCTGCCAAGGAGTCAGGGATAGTTGAGATTTTTCCTCTGACTTCTTATCTAAGGCATGTTTAAGACTCTAAGTAAATTTTTACATCTTATGAGATAGATTTCAGTCAGTGAGGTTAATGTGAAGGCAGACTTTTTAGTTAACCAAATTTGCAGGAGGAGTGACCCTAAGTCCTAAGAAAATCAAATTGATGCTGATTCCATTTTGTAATTGATTCTATTCTGTATCACCCCCAGTATTGTAAGATTGTCTAAGACTCTGAGTTAAAAAGTTCCAAAGTTCATCTTTCCTCTCTGAACTGAGTTGTCCTATAAATCACCTCAATTCAAAGAAATATAGTCTCTACACGTCTTACTGCCCTCGTACAATTAAGGGAGATCTGTTATCTCACTAACAAGCCTTGCAGGATGCATGTGGGTGCCAGGAAGTCTGTTATTCCTGCAAAGCTGGCTATCTTTCAAGAAAGTCTGGCGTGTTAGCCGTGCAGGTGGACACCACCAATGAACTTTCCATAGCAACAAGATGAAAGGAGGGGCTGTTGCTAGTCCTGCCTACCTGACTTCCATCCAATCATGTTGTTTTCCATCATCTATCAGATTTCAGATTTTGTAACCAATCATATTGTTTTATGCTTCCTGTTCTTTGTTCTCATGTACTTCCCAAAATTATATGAAGGTTGGTAAACCTTACCTTGTGGTCTTTTGACTGACTGAGAAGTTGAGAGACCCCTTTTATTGTTAATTGCTAGCTTTACTAATAAATTGAATGGAACTTTGTGCTTCAATTTACCTTAATTTCAATTGCAACAGTCCTGAATGATAAAAGGAAAATTTTAAAATTCCCATAACAATGGCAGTCTCATTTTGAGGTTCCTTGATGATGATTATGGTTAGAACTGGCAACAAGGAAGAAAACTCTGAATCCAGTATGGATTCAACAGTATGCTATGATACATCAATGCAAATTGTCTTAATTTGGGACCTTGGATCAATATCCTTATTGTGTTCAGTTCCAGCTGTATTTGGTAGCCTACCTGAAGTCTGAGTTCTTTTGCATGTTCTTTCTATAATGTCAAATCTTGAGGGTGTTGTAACCCCTCTTTACCTATCTCCCCCAAATCTCAGGTTATCAAGAGGTTAAATGTTATCCAGGGTGACTGTTGTGTGCCCCATGGGTCTGTGATCTTCATTAATTTGAGCAAAACAACTTCCTATGGATTCTTAAAATGTCTGTCGTCTTCTCATAGGGCCTAATGCATCTCCAAGGAAAACCTGTTTGTTCTTTTGACCCAGAAGGGTTAATTTTTGCTGCTGGCGTCAATTCTGAAATGGTTAAACTTTATGATCTTCGTTCCTTTGATAAGGTAATGTGTTAATATTTTTCATTCTCTCTTAGCATTTCCTATGTTTAGGGTGGGTTTGGAGGTAGTAGAGGAGGATAGCAGAATTTAGTTGTGAAAGAATGATATTTTAAAGTAGTTAATGCTAATTCATTTAAATATGTGCACTATCCTTTGTGACTGTGATTCAGTTTCTCTTGTTTTGGGTCACCATCAAGTAGGTGCTATCTGGAACCTATGTAACTTTCCAAAATTTGGATTTTATCACTGTACTTGTAATATAAACCCAGTTTTTCTGTGTCCATTTCTGCCCTCTGTGACAATTGGCTAATCTCATAATATCTGTGTAAGATGGGGCTTGTGTTTATATTATCTAGGTCACAGAGGAAAGTGCTTTGTGAATTGTAAAGAACTATGTAGATGTGAGTTACTGATTTTGGCCAGAAAGGAATTCAAGTGACCAAGGATTCATTATCAAAAGTAATTTGGGGGGTGGGGGGGGTAATTTTGATGTTCCCATGTTGCCTTGTGAATCCACCTTTGTTTTTCCATTTAAAGGGGCCATTTGCTACTTTCAAAATGCAATATGATAGGAACTGTGAGTGGACAGGCTTAAAGTTCAGCAATGATGGCAAACTCATCCTTATATCTACCAATGGCAGTTTCATTCGCCTGATTGATGCGTTTAAGGGAGCAGTAATGCATACGTTTGGGGTAAGTTCATAATCTTGAAATTGCAAACTGTTTTCTCTTCAGGCTGTATTCTTATTGAGGTAGGTGAGTTGGCTGCCTTCTGTTAGCTGGATTGTGGAGAATAAGAGCCCTGTCCCTTCACCTCATGCCCATAGAACATGGACTATAAAGGACTGGGAAGAGGCAGGAGGTGGGGGGTGGAGGTCAAGAGAAAGAAGTTGTTCAACTTTCCTGGATGGTGGGAATAGTTAGAGCTGGCTGCTGTTGGTGGATTTTTTTGTTTGTTTTAAATCTATTACAAGAAAACAGTTATTTTGTCCTTACATTTTAGGGGTATAACAACAGCAAAGCTGTCACATTAGAAGCCTCCTTCACTCCAGATTCTCAGTTTATTATGATCGGTAAGATATTTACTCATTGTCTTTGGCTTTTGTAACTTTGACTTACAAACTTTCAGCATTTAATCCTCTAGTAGTATGGCAGTAATTATTAAAAATGATATTAATAATCACTTATGGAAGTGTTTTATGGACTGATCAGACCACATCTGAAATATTACAATCAGATCTGATTACACACTGAATTTTAGCAAGGACAATGATAAGGTTTCAGGCATTTAGCCTAGAAAAGACTTGTGTAGGTGGGGGAGCATGGTAATTAATCTCCAAGTCTCTTTAAGGACTGTCTTGTAGAAGGGGATTTTATTTTTCCTATATCAGAGGGCAGAATGAAGATTGATGGGTGGAAGTTGCAAAGAGATAAATTTAAACTCAGTGTAAGGAAGAATGTCCTAACAGCTGTCCAGAAGCGAATGAACTACACTAGGGGCAGACTTCACCAGAGGTCGTGGAGCACCACCTGGATGGTTGCGTTTCAGATAGATTTGTTTTAGACAGGATTTTTGTTTAGATGTGGATTGGAGTAAAGCAGAGGATCCTCATGCCACTTGTAAACTTGTTTTTAATATTATGATAACCATATTTCAGTATAATTGGTTTTCCTTGTAATTTGATGCATTTTATTTTATACATATAAAACATGATTTGAAGAAGGGCTCCAGAGACTTCACTAGACTGCTGAAAGGATACATAGCACAAGAATGGTTTAGAACCCCTGGTCTGTGGAAACTAGAATTATAAATCTATGTGACAGAAAGGGTGGGTAGTGCCTTCAAAAAACTAGAGAGGTTTAAGAGAGAGTTAAGTTGTGGAGTAATGGTGGAGGAAGTCATTACTTTCTTAGAATTGTTTCTAGCGAGGTGGAGGTGATGAATGCATTTGACAAAGTGGGCCTAGAACTTGGCAAGAAAAGTTAACTCTCTCTCCCAAGACCCACATCTGGGTTGCTAGTCTTATTCCCTGGATACAAGATTTTTTTTTTTAAGAAAAACTTGATCTTTGCCAGAGTTGATGCCGGTGTTTTACCTGCAAGCACTGTGAATTTTTGGGAAAGTATAATTTGTTACTTGGTCTCAACCATTTGCCTGTCATTAATGAGAATTAGCTAGGATGTTCATAATAGAATATAGAATCTGAGAGCCAAAATACAGTATGTCCCCGAAGTCTTAGTGCCATTTTAAGCTATTAGCTACACTAAGACTTTGGAGACACCCTGTAGTATCATACTGTTCTTCTATTTTGCTACAGCTTCATAAAGGTAAATTGGATATGGATTTTATCAGCGCAGCTTAGTATATTAAACCTAATTTCCCAGCTGGGTAGAGTGTGATAATGGATCTTAGGGATAATGCAGGATTGTATACTTCAGTAACATCTTCAAGCAAGGTAAAGTAAGTATTCAGCATAAAAAAGGGGTATCATTCCAATCAGTGAAGTAAGTAAGAAAGATAATAGATATTATACTCCCTTTCAGATGGGATTTTTTTAGTTGTTTCCAGCAATTGAATATCCCTCCTTCATAGAGACTGAACACATCAAGAAACCTAATGAGGCACTCCTTTCCTTGAGTGCCCTTTCTGCATTTTCACCAGGGAATTACTCTTAGAATGAGGCTTCTGACTAGGATTTCTGAACACTTTGTTTTGTGTGTTTTTCCTCTTCTATGTATCTTGAATTTAATGCAGTGTTTTGTTTTGTTTTTTTAATTCATCATCTCTAGGCTCTGATGATGGTAAGATTCATGTCTGGAATGGAGAAAGTGGCATAAAGGTGGCTGTGTTAGATGGAAAACATACTGGTCCCATAACCTGTTTGCAATTCAATCCCAAGTTCATGACCTTTGCCAGTGCATGTTCTAACATGGTAAGTATAGCAAAAGTGCACAGGCTCAAACAGGATTTCTGCTAGGTCCCAAGAGTAGGTCTCCCCCAAAGATACTGACTCTGGGATTTGGATTTATTGCTTTACTTTATTTTATTTTCTGTGGTACCCTTCTTTCCCAGTATCTCCTGCTTTAAAGCTCACATAACCAACCATGGTAATATACACATTATTTTCTCCGTGTGTGTAATACATAATTTCACATTAAGCCAATTCAAACTATCAAGGAGTTGGGTAAAGTGTTACACATTCTCTTCCTCACTTCTTGTATTACCTCTCCAAGGAAGTTATTCTACTTTCTTGCTTAGTTCATCCACATGTCACCAGTCCAAGATTTGAGTTCTTTCTCTCTGCTCCCTTGATCCCTAGAAGCTTCCAAATGCTAACCCATTAGTGGACTTAAAGGAAAATCCTTTCTTTCCAAACAGTATTAGAACAGGATAGTACCTCTGCAGTTTGGTTCTTCTAGCCCCTTGCTGCACTTATTCCCATATCTACCTATAAACTGAATTGAGGAGAGAGGGCATGGATTTTTATTACAGAATCTACCCCGTGACATATATTGTCCTCTTTTCCTTGCCAAAATTCCTAGCATGTCAGTACTATTGGGACCTCTTCTAGTCTAACCCTTTACTTTTACAAAAGAGGAAGCAGAGGTTTACTTACTCAGGGTTTAGTGATAGAGGGAGGATTAGAACTCTGGTCTCCTGACTTCTAGTTCAGTACTTTCTACTATACCACAGTTCCAAGTTTGTAACCTTAACATTAGACTCCTCACCTTTTCTCACCCCACAAATCCAGTCAGTTGGCAAATCCTGACATTTCTACCATCGCGGCAACCCCCTAACAGGGATTTGGATCCTGTGGCCTTCTAGGTCCTCAGGTTTGGCCTTTTGACCAAGTCCAAGTTTTACAGAAGAAATCCATTTAATTAAGGGGATTTGTCTGTAAAGTTTGGATTCAGTCAAAGGGCAGCACTTGAAGACCTAGAGGGCCACGTGTGGCCTTCAGGACTAGGGTTCCCCACCCTCGCCCTAGTGCATCCCTCCACTCAAACAGTTAGCACCTTAGTTCAGGCCCTCATCACCTCTCACCTAGATTATTTCAACACCCACCTGGTTTTTCTCTCCTTGCCTCAAGTCTTTACTACTGCAACCTCCTCCTGCAGCCAAAGTGCTTTTCCTTAAATGTAAATTTGGACCGTATCACTCTGCTACTTAACTCCAGTGACTTCCTGTTGCTTGTAGGATCAAATATGAACTCTGCTTAGCTTTTAAAGTTTGGACCCCAACCTGTCTTTCTGGTCTTGGTGAATGTTATTCACCCTCCCATACTCTTTGTTCGAGCCCAACCGCCTTTCCCTCTGTTCCTCACATATTACATCAGCTCCATCTCTTGTCGTGTCCCTTTGCACTTTCCATGGCCCAGACCTGAAATGCACTTGTCCATCTGCTTCATGGAGCTCTTAGTTTTTGTAAGGTGTTGAAGCAACATCTTTTTATGTGAAACTTTCCCTATTCTTCTCCCTCTCCACCCCTCCCCCCAGTTCCCTGCCATCCAGTCTATCCACTACTTTGTATATTGGTGTATGTGCTTTCTGTGATCCTCATTAGAATCTAAGCAAGCTCCTTGTTTCATTATTTGGGTTTGTATCCTCCCAGCATGGCACAGTGAAGACAGGATAACAGAGTCAGTGTGTTCCACACCTATTCTCATCTCTTCTCCTGCCCAAATATCTGGTTTTGAATCCTGATTCTTTTTACTTGTCATTTGTATGGCCAAGTTTTATAGAACAAATCCTTTTATTAAGGAGATTTGTTCTGTGAAGTTAATTGAGAGCCTTTCCCTCCTTGGACCTGGTTTCCTTAAATATAAAATAAAGAATTTGGACTAGATGACCTCCTATATAGAGGCCCTTAAGTTGTATTGCAAATATAATTTATCTTTTCCTTACCAAAAAGATTCTAGAATGTCAGCACTGTTGGGGAATCTCGTGGAGTCCACCCTTATTTTATAATGGGAAACAAGTTGCTGAAGATTCAAATTTCATCCATTTCCCTGGTGTTTTGCAGAAGCCTTTGGTCCTAAATACAGAAAGCTTATACTGTTCATCCTGCTTTGCTTAGAACTGAAATAATTTTCTTCTCTTTCCAGGCATTCTGGCTGCCTACCATTGATGACTGATCATTTGTCAGCAGCGTCTGCACATTGAAGGGCAGCCAATAAGAGGAGGAAAGGGACTGTGTATTGGGATTATGTTGTTCTTCTGACCTGAAGCATTCTTCTACCTAGCCCTTCTCATGGACATCTCAGTACATCCTTTTAAAAAAACAAAACAAAACAAAACACAAACTCCTTTGCTGCATTCCTTCAAAAGGACTCTCGGTGCTGCAGACCTGAAGTTGGATTCAGATTTCCTAGTTGTGGCCTGTATCAAGCTCCTCCTGAGGGGTGAGCTGTGTCAGGCTCATCGGCATCAGTGCGGACCCTTGGCATAGCCTCCTCTTTTGAATGTATAGGGAGCCTATAAAATCTTGACTCCACATATCTTCTTTCCTGCACCCTGTCCCCATAAATGCATGGAAATCTAGTTCTGGTTTTGAGGTACTAGTGCAGTTTCCCCTTTTCCCTCTGCATGTGTCATGATTGAATTTTCCCAGTATTGTTGTGGCTTTATTCCATAGCCATCATGTTTCTTCTGTGCCAAAAGTTTAAAAATAATCAGTTCATAAGTCCTAGGTACAGAGGGAAGGACAGAGCTATGTAAGGTCTTGGTTTGCAGGGAACTCAAGGAACTCTGCAGACTGTTAGGGTGAGGGTGCTAGGTATGGACTTAGTTGTGTGGCTAACTCAAACCTGGTTCAGTCTGCTTCTAACTGATGTGGGGAACATAGAGAGGCCAGGGGGACGTGAAGAGGTAACGAATCAAGTGCCTCCAGCAGTCAGGGAGGCTTACCTCCTTAGCAGACAGGGGCCCAGCCCTGTGTAAGCAAATGGCAGCTGAGCTGGGATACAGCCGGGTTGTCTCTGTCCAATGATCTTTTGTGTGTACATATTTATGGGGGGTGGGAGGGGTGGGAGCCTATTTTTTTACTTTAGAAATCAATAACTATTTCATGTGGGCCAGTATTGTGGAATGAGTCCAAATGGTTTACACTGATGCTTTCTTTCCTCTATCCTCCTCCCCACCCCCCAAAAAAAATCCTGTAAATAACCTGCAAATAGTCCTACCCCCTTCTCCAGCCTCCCAAACCAACAAAGCTGATTCTGGGCTTGTATTTTTGTTAGTGTCTAGCCTTTTTATATGACTTTTCTTATTTTACATTTCAGCTCTGTGTGTGCACCTTCATTTTAAAACAAAAACCTACACATTGTAACATCAGGCTTTAGTACAATAGTCTTGTTCTCTCACCTGGTTCTTGGTGTTGTCAGTTCTTTAGCTGGGCCACAGGAGAAATGCTTTCATCTTTGAGATGAGGAACAGCCTGCTTTTCTGCCTGAGAGTGTTGCCACAAGTGTTAGAAAGTGTTCCCTCTTTTCCTTTTTCCATTTCTTGGAGAACAAGCACAGTTACTGCCTAGCCTGGAGACCATTGATTGGCTCCCTCAGGTGATCACTGGCAAGCTCATAAGAGCAACTACTCTGTATTTTCCATGTCTTTATGGTGGAAACCTCTACAGTATTAGTCCCTGTTGTACTTTAGCCCGTTCTGTCTTTGCGCATGTGGTGTGAACAAAAGTCACTCTGCATGATAATGTCTCAGAAATTGTGATTCCCAAACCAGTGGTTTCAGTTTGTAAATAGCCTCTGTGCTAATTATATTGTGCACACTTATGCTTGTATCTGTGTTCTTTGCATTCCTTTAGGGGTAAATAAGAAGAGAAAGTTATGTTCCTCCTTTGTTGAGGGGAGTGTTTTTTAAACGGTAGAAGAATGTGATGGGAAGGCCTGCCCTGCTACCTCTTTAGGGCTAGATGGAAGGGGCACATTTCAGCTGAGAGACACGCATAGGCCATGTGTGTGCACTACACCCGGGCAGTGTGGGATGGCGTTTTAAAAAGCAAATGTGCTGGACTTACTGTCCTTGAGTCACCAGGTTTGAGTAGGAAATCAAGGGATGAGGTTAACAGTTCTGGAGTAATGATAATTTATTTAGTTTTGTTTATTAACAAGGGAGGTTGCCTCCAACAAGAGATGTTCTTTCTCCTTGCTTCAAACAGTTAGATGAAAGGTGCAATACAGAGGTAACTATTTTTGGGTCATGATGGTGGTATCTCTTTGCTTTGGGGATGGAGAGGACCACAGTTCATGCCATAGGTATTTGGGAGGTACTAAACAGCAGTAGACTTAGAGCTTTAGGGGAAATCACTGGGTGCCTATGGGATGAGGTGTATAGGCCAGGGAGAGCAGAGAGGCTGTGAGTTCTGTGTCATTTGTTTCAAAGAAGTCGGGGTGGCATGGGAGGTGAAGTTAAAAGGATTCTCACCAGCTCTTGGTGAGAGTTAGGCCTACCCACAAATAAACATCCTTTCTTTGTAAAGGTCAACTCTTCCCACTGAAGAGTATTTATTAATACTGTTGGGGGATATGTTTTTGCAGTCACTAAGGCCCAGCCTAGTGTACCCACCAGCACATCTGTAAGTTGCCCCAAACACCTCACTCCATCCCCCAGTTTTTCTTATGTTCAAAGCTCTTATGAGCTTAAAAACCGTTTTTTTTATGGCCTCTGCCCCAATCCTAAAAAGTACTGCTGACCACGGAACCTAAATCTGCCCTCTCCTATGCAGCTGGTAGATGAGCCCTTAGGCATAATGACTCACTCAGTCTGGGGGAATTTAGGACATAATTAGAAGGAAGTACCCTCTAGTAATCTACATTTCCCTGGCATTTTGATCTTTGACACTTTTTGTGATGCCAAGAAGGGTTAGGAGGCCAAAGCTGAGTGAAGGGACAAGATAGGTAAAGACAGACTACTTTGGATTTTGGGTGTCCAGGAATATGGATGGTCTCCAGGAGGGTGGCCAAAGTGATAATTGATTGGAACTCATCATTGCTGGCTACCTGGGCACCTAGAATGCACTGGTAGAGAAAGTTAAACACAGATAAGAATTTTTCTTCTGTTGAGTTAAACATCTTAAATCAATTTTACCTTCTCTAAAAAGTTTTTTAAAACAATTATTAGAAAAGGTTTAGCAAAACTGGCTAACATTTCATCTGACAGAATATGCACTATTCTATAACCATAAGTCTTCTGTGATGACATGGAGAGAGGTGCATTTTTTTTCCTGCTTTTCGCTGGGGTCTAGCTTGATCCATGTATTTAACATTTAATGGAAATATTTAAAATTATGACATATATCTCTCCCCCATTTCAAATGGATCATGATAGTATAAGTTTTCATTAATGACAGCATTCTCAGGTTTTTTGGCCTCTTCTCCAGCTGTCACTTTTTTTGGGGGGGGGGGTGAGTCTGTTGGGGTTAAGTGACTTGCCTAGAGTCACACAGCTAGTGAGTGTTATGTGTCTGAGGCCGGATTTGAACTCAGGGCGTCCTGACTCCAGGGCTGGTGCTCTATCCACTTTGCCACCTAGCTGCCCCAAGCTGTCACTTCAAGAAGTGGAGTTTTTCACTTCAAAGGTTGCCCGTAGTAACCCCAAATCTTCTATGGCCAGGTAGACAAAAGACAACCTGTTAGAATTGTTTATAAATTTTCACAGTAGGACTTCTGTGAAAAAAATGAATCAGTTTTTGTGCATAGAATTTGGGATATCTCAGTAGTCTGCTTCCTGCCAATCTGGCTCAATCAACCTGTGGTGGAGGGCAAGAGCACTGGATTGGGAGGGGGAAGTTTCCTTATCTTTAAAATGGTTGTGTGGAAGGAATCTTACATTTCCAACATTTTATAATACCTGTGAGGTTCTTAGATAAGCATTGTGGTGCGTATTACAAGGTAAGAAGGCATCTGGGTCAAGCATTCACCTCTGTCTCTATAGCAACTCTGACAAGGCTAGATGATTTTACAAAGACAAAAAACAAATCAGCTTGTGCTACCAGTTAGCGTTCTCAGTCCTGGCTCTAATGTATATGATAATTTAAGTAGCATAGCGAAACCATTCTGGAGCCTCATCCGCCCACAAAATGCTTAGACTCAGAGGACCAGGTGTGTGGATCCTGGAGGAATAAGGAAACTTCTTGGCTAGGATCATGTGGCTTCATATAATACCCTTTTCTCAGCAGAAGCATGATGTTCCCTTAGGGGAAAGGTAACTTTCCATCCTCTCCCAAAGTTAGGTTGGACAAAGCAGGGAAGAAGCTTTCTGGAGACAAAGAATGGGAGGAACCACCCATCCCTTGCCATTCTGGAAAGTCTAAAGTCCTTGCTGTTTAGGCCCCTCTTCTCTATAACCCTCAGGTAGGGGCTTTAATTGGCAGGAACCATGGAATTACTCTCTCAAGGTAAGCCAGATCTCTCTCTCTTTGTTAAAAGTTCCTTGAACATGCTTCGTGGAGTAGATTATCAACAGATGTCCCCTGGGTCCTAGGGAAAGCTTGTGTAGCAAGAGCTGGGCCATGTCTTTCTGGTTCAGAATACGTTGGTCCTGAGCCTGCTGTGAGTAAACAGGGCACATGTGAAACCCAAGACAGGTTGGGTTGGACTTAGACCATTCATTGTCATCAGCTCCTCTTGAGATTCCCTTAGCTTGGCCCTTTGTCCCAGGTTTCAAGAAGAGGTGGGGCTTAGCTAGTAGTGAAAAGCCTCAGGAATCCTTATTTCTTTTTTTTTTTTTATGGTGCAAAGGAATCACAAACACTGAAATGTCATCATAGGACACCAGCACATTGCCTGCTGAGCTCTGTTCCCAGGTGCCATTCTCTTTGCCCTGGGTCCTGTGGATCAACAGTTTGGCCAGCTCTGAGAACCTGAGGAAGGGAGGACATCAGTGGATTAGTCTCCTTGACTAAGTACCTTCAGGGGGTTGGGGACGAGATGCTATCCTTTATCCTGAGGGAGTAACTCTGATTTCTATAGTGCTTTCCTCAAGACAATCCAGATGGAGAAAAGGCGATTTAGTGGAGATCGGCCTTACATACAGCCCCAAAGCCAGTTGTGTTGGAGCTGAGATCTGAATGTATCTGCTGTTTTTGTCCATCTTCACTTCCTATCTGCTACATTCTGCCATAATTCCTCACCCTCTGAAGCCTTGAGTTGATGGAGATAATATTGAAATGTTGGTTGTGTGTGTTGTACAAAAAGTTTCATCTCACACATACTTTAAAGATTATGGAATACTCATTACAGCTGTGAGGTAAACTATGCAGTTCATTCAACATTCTAGTGTCAGAACTAGAGTTTGGACTTAAATCTTCAGATCCCAAGTGCTACCCTCTCTTGAGGTGTATAGTCAGTCAGGGCTGAGCAGCCTGGTTTCAGAGCCCTGTCATCTCCCCCTCCCCAGTTCTCTTCATTATGTTCTGCTGCCTGTCCCACATTAGAATTACCTGTTGGGGTCATGTCTGTTATCCTGGAGGAAGGTGCGTGTGAGCTGGGCTACTTGTTCATTAGACAGGACATCCCAGAGCCCATCAGTGGCCATGATGATCACCTCATCCTCCTGGGGCTCCTGCTGTTCTAAATCTATTACAGTGACCTGTGGTTACAAGATCAGATCTTCAGTGTCCTCTTCCCAAACCACCAGGGCTGCGCTTGCCGCTGGGCCCAGCTACCTGATTTTTAGGAAGGGAGGGTCAGATAGAATCAGAAAGCTTCAGAATGGCAAGGGACGAGGCAGACCACGGAACCCAACATCCCTCTTTTAAAGAGGAAGAAATGAATGTTCAGGGGTGGGGGAAGGAAGAAGTGTCCCAGGTCTCCCGCTTCCGTGCCCAGTGTTTTTTCACCTAGGGAGGGAGGTGGCATGATAGAATGGAAAGTACCCTGCTCTGAAGTCAAAGGACTTCAAAGCTTGCCTCTAACACACACCAGCTGTGTGAACTGTGTGTCTCGGTTTCTTCAGTTACAAAATGAAGGGGTCTGAAATGTGAATTCATGGCCTGTGAATCCCCTTTCAGCCCAAGTTCTAAGAGTCTATGGTGCACTGAGGCCCCTAGGAAACGAAGGGGTTAGAGGGCAGAGTAGGTGGGTAGTATCTCGTGAGACTAATCAGCATTATGTTACTTCAAGGATCTGTAATTGTGTTACTGCAGATTGCCATCCCTTTGACCTTTCTCTGTGGCTGAAAAAATTCACTGCTACCAACCAGGTGATGAGCCTCTCTCAAACTTGGATGGGTCTTGGATGCTCAACACATCTGGAGCCTGGAAAGGTTGTGTGAGAGCTTGGGGCCCCCGAAAGAGACCATGAGAACCCGAGATCACTCCCACCAGTAAGATCAGGAAGGGCTTTAGTTGAGATGTGCAGTGTAAATTGCAAATATGCAGTTGCCTCAATCTCAGAGGCTGGGCCTGGGCTCCAGGCCATGATCAGTCCCTTCCTCACCTCAGGGATGGAGAGAAGAAAGGGCTTGATGTCGATATCTGAGTCCAGGACCTTCAGCTGATGGTCTCCCAGTCCTCTGGACACAGCCAAAGTACCCAGCAAACGAGCCTGGTGGGAGAGAGGACATGGGAACACAGCAGATGAGCTGGTAGTGACCATCTGGTGTCTCAGTGGTAACCCCCACAGGAAGGGAAATTAGGCAGCCAGAGAGACTGAGAAGCAGTAGGCTTATCCTGTAAGATTACTAAAGCAGGACCCCATATTAGGTTCCTTTGGGAGTGAGGGGTAGGGAGGCTGGCCCTGATCTAGTGATGGTTTCTGCCCTTGATGAGTCCCCACTCCAAGAGACGCCCCTTTTCCTGGCCCACCCCCATCCACCAGCCAGGGTCATAAG